TATTATTGAATGCGGAGCCCTGTGATAAGTTCAAGTGAAGTACAAGACCAAAATAAAAAATTCTCAGAAGGAGATCTAATCGTGGAGCAGGATACTATGGTGTGACAGTAGCATCACAGAAGGTTCTATTATATAAAGTTGCTTGAATAAGTCCTCCGGTTGGGGTGACCTGGAGGCTACACCAACATCTCTATACAATAAGTATGGAATACTTGTTTAGAAGAGTAATACAGGTAATAAAACTGGAGGAGTGAGACAAGTAGTGAATACAAGGATAATCTGTGGTAAAGGATTGGTCTAATCAGAATTGGAACATCTCTGGCCAAATACAAGATCTATAAATAGGAATGAAAGTATAATAATATACATTATTAACATCAATGATGGGTGCCATACTTGTATACTATAAGTCAAGGTCCCAGTGTTTCCTTGCAGTACCAATCTGATAGTAGCTGTGACAGAAGGCATTACTACCTTTAAAAGCATATTAAGTAAGTGGTACACTGCAGAATAACAACCGGATATTTGATAAATCTGGCTATGCTGATCAGTACTAATATATGGAGGGCCATGTACACCAATTTGAGAGCTCTAAAAGAAGCAAAAAACCTCTAGCAGACACCAAGCTAGAAGAATAAAAAGTTGTTGCAGGAAGTAGAAGATGGTCATTGTATAATTAGATAACTGTAGCGGCCTCGGCTTGCAAGTATTTGTCCTAAAACTCAGCGTAAGTTACCGAAAAGGTATAATCTGGAAATATATAGGACATAGAAAGATTAGGAAAGTATATACTACATCCTCCTTAGATTAACCTGGTAAGTATGAAAACCTTACTGAATTATCTATCAAATTAGAGCACAAGTAATATAGCACATATCGATCTGGGTGGTCTTCAATGAAGCAGCACAAGGTTATGAGTTAGTATAATTAAGATGGTGGTGCAAGACAGAAGACACCAGAGAGTTTAATTGGATAGCTCAAGTAATAGTGGGTTATAGATACAGCATCTAGTGTAGACCCTAGTAATAGGTAGCTACTTAATTAGACACTCAAAAGGCGCAAGTATAGCTAGCATGTACTCTC